ATATTTATTATTGTTCTCAATCTCCTTTACACATTTGCCTTCTTATTAGATAAAATATTTTTGATATTTTTGCATTATTTTACAATGTTGTATAATTCATTTACAGATAAAGTTTTAACAAAATTAAATTTCCCATTTTTCCACAGACATGCTCCAGTAGAGCATATCTTTGCCAAATTGCTCCACTGGTCCCTGAGGAATTCGGCAGGTTGATTTTTCACCTTTGAGTCATTTCGTTTCAATCAACAAGGGTCTGACTATTACTGACACCTATTTTTTCAAATTTAGTACACTTATAGAGCTTAATGATAGAAATTAAATGGTACCTATTTTAAATCTCTAAGGTCAAAGGATTCCCTAGATATGACCCTTTCACCCTTGCCAAAAAGGTTAATGTTGAAAAATAGACACAGTTTAAATATCAATATCTCACTTGTTTTTTTGACTTACAAAGCTAATTTATATACCATTCTAAAGTGCTTAGATAACTCTAAAAGGTGATCTACTTATTCTTTTGTTTTAAGGTCAAATAAGATAATTTGACCTTAAATTTCTCAAAAAACATATCTTTAATTTTCTTTTTTAAATTTGACAACAACTTTGTATGCTTTATGGCAAGATATGTACAAAATTTTGTGGTGGACTTTTGACTGTGGCCTGAATTACAAGGGTTTTAATGAGTTGGGCCAAATTCAAAATGGCGGATTTTGGTATCTGCCACTATATGCTAACATTTTCATATCTTCCAATATGGTCAAGTTGTATATCTTTAGAAAGCTCTTTGAATGTGGGTTAATATTCACATAAGAACTAGGATCATAAAATCAACAGAATTTGTCTTGATGGTTTTGTTTACATATTTATTATACAACAAATAGATTTTTATATGAGAAAGTGACATTTAAAAAAGTGTCATAAATTAATGTTACGATAACATAAAATAATAAGAAAATATCCAACAAATGACATTAATGGCTAACAAATTTTTGTTGATATTTGACATGGTACACAAAATGCATCAAATTTACAGTATTTTTATATATATTTAAAAAAATTTGATCCAAAAAAGTAATACATTAAAATGAATAAAAAAAAGATTTCTAACGTTTATAAAGAGATTAACATGCAAACATATTTTTCTTTTTGGAATACATGTTTAAATAGAAAATAAAAATTGGAATATGCAAAGCACTTACTTTTTCACTCAAATTTGTTGTGATGGCCAATGTTGATTTTATCTTTTTTAAGTTTAAGGTTATTTCAAGAATTTCTCTTTCCTTAAATATTTGAAGCTTTTTCCATCTCAATTTTCGTGAAGGTGTTTTTTTTTTTTTTGTTATTTCGTTTAGTTTTGTTGTGATTTCCATGCATTATATTTTGAGGAGAGAGGAAAAGACCAACTATAATTGTCACTATTAGTCATCAATGGCAATACAAACCAACTAGTACACGGCTGAGAGCAGTACATACTGTGGCCTCGGGGTTGCCCACCAGAAATACATTTTTTTTTTTTTTTTTAAGCATTTCATCCCAAGCAAGGCGGGAAGCCACTAGCACACAATGGGTTACAGAAGATTTGGAGCGAGAGCAGATAGGAGTGATAGAGGAAAGGATAAGGATAGTGGATAGATCAAGGCAACTGGAGATGCCAATTGACATTTCATTTGAATATTTGAAGATTATAGCTATTGGGGAAACAGGAACAGGGAAAGGAGTTCCACAGGCGAGAGGTGCAAGATATGAAGCTATTGGAGTAGAAGAGACGGCTACATTTAACAGTTTCAAAAGTGAAAGGGTGAGATCAAGATGCCATCCTCGTAGGACGCTTGAATTCATGAAGTCTGGGAACCAGCAAAAGCAGCTCATCAGAGCAATTACCATAAAAGTATTTGTAAAAAAGACAGTGAGAGGTGATGGCAGGGAAAACTATCTATGTATGACATGTCATTACAGATACTCCGATATTATGTGACAGTTAGAGCAGCCTCTCTAAGCGCTACCAAAGAGTTGGGCTCTAATAACCAGTCGGAAGCAGCAGCCAGCAAACTGCCAAACCAGTGTCCTCATAATGGAAAGCCACTGGTTAGTGTGATTACCAAATAGTTAAGACAGTTAAATCATTGTGACTCTGGTAAGAGAAAAAAAGAAATAGAATCAGTAAACCATATCCTGAACAGGGAACAAGGGATGAATCTCTACACCTGTTCAATAGACATAGGAGTGCAGACCAGACGATGTAAGGAAAAAAACTAAAGAAAAAAAGCACATAAAATACAGAAGAATTAAAATTATGACTTAGTTCTGAAGATATTATGCAACTGTTGATCAGACCAGCCTCTCTAAGTGTGACCAAAATTATTGTGGCCCTGATAGGAGGAGTAAAGAGAGAACCAGTAAGTCATATTCTGAACAAGGAACAAACTTCTACTCCTGTTCAATAGACATGGAAGAAGTGCGGCCCAGATGATAGGTGAGCCAGTCTACTACCAACTAAATTAGTTGTATGTCAGCCACTGAAAATAATAAGTCATCTGCAAACAAATGCCAATTTTCAAATTATATATATATATATACACACACATAATTTAATGAAGCAAATTAAAATCCATCTTAAATCCTAATGGTCAGTGGTGCAGAGTAACTTAACAGTTTGATAATTAATAGCAATGGAGGGAACAAAATACATGGAAAATCAGATACAAAAATAATAAAAAATAAGAATAAAAATCAAAATCAAATTAATACAAGAATAATTAACACAGACATTTCAACATTTAAAACAACAAAATAGTATAAGGCACTGTATCTTACAAGCACTGCTTCATTCCAATTTCTAAATTTGACTTTTTTGGGACGAGGCAGGCAGGCTTTATTCTCAATAGTGATTTTGGAGATTTTAGACAACTCATCTAAAATGGTCTCGGTTTTGCACGGCCAGAGTCTCTACCTTCAGATGAGTGATGGAGGGAGTTGGCTGGGGTGTTTACCAAAGAGACACTCACATACTAGGTGGTGGTACCAGTGTTAAGTATCTTTTACCTGGTGGTAGTAGGGGTATGAAGGTTTTTTCGATTGGTCATTTACCTCTGCAAACTATAAAATTTTCCTTCAACCATATCTGAAGAACTATAAAACTTACTCTCATCCATACTTGACCAACTATAAAATATGTTTACAACACTATCAATTTCACTGTAAATGACCCACAAGATGTTGAGGAGCCGTTAAACACAATCAATCAATCAATCACTATGCAATAAACCAGAGTTCTTAATAAAAAGATGTGTGAGAAAATTATTTAAAGGAACAAAAGTGCAAAATTAATAAATATGGTCATGTCAGTAATCTTGGGAAGGCTCAAAAAATTTCCTAAAAAATAAAGAAAAGATAAATTTTTCTTTTACTGCCATTACCACCCACCCTCCCCTAAGAGTAAAAAAAAAATTATATATGGTTACATATTCAAATTAAAACACTTTTTATCATAATAATTTTGGTAACTTTCATTCTTGGATTTGTTTGAAAATAACTAAACCTTTTTACATGCATTTATCATTTGGGCTCATAGGGTAAATGTCTAACAAGATTTGTATTCCTACTCCATTAAAATCTTAAAATTTTTCATTCATAATGCAAAACAGATCCATTCAGTTACCAGAGTTGTATATTGTTGTGATAATTTTTTTTTCTTGTTACCTCAATGTGACACCAGCTTTCTCTGTTCCTTCACTGAACTACTAAATAACCCAACTTACTCTTCAACACAACAATTTTTGGCTTTCCCTTTTTTTCATTGTTTGGTTTAATATTATTGCAACATCTAAAAATTTTGTCCATACAAACATTCACTCATCAGCAGGTGTGGTTAGGTTTAAAACTCCAATGGTCTAGTAAATTAAAGCATTAGTTGGTGAATTTTATGAAATAGTAATTGTGTATTCAATCAAGACAAGCACCAATTTATTAGGTTGCTGTTGTGCAGTATGTATTTGGACTCAGTGGAATTGGGCTAAGCAATAACCGAGCAGTACTAAATAAAAACTAAACAAGATATCCCTTGACATGGTCAGCAGAATAAGAACTAACTTTTAGATTGAATAAAGGGTTCAGTAATAAATTCTCTGAAGGTTAATCAACTCAACAAGCACCTGATGAAGGTTAAAGGACACATAGGCTAATAACATGATAACAGCAAAGATGAGGACAATAGTAATGATGACCCATCATCAAAATTCAGAGAAATATTCTTTACATTTCTAACTCACACATTCTACAAAGGTTGACCCACCACATGGACGTAAAAACATTTAACATTAGAATCTCCTTTGTCATATAAATGAGCATGTTTATTAAAAAATTATTCTTCAACTTCCAGTAGATTGTACTCAAGGATAAAAGAATCAAACTAACGCTTGGTACCTTTTATCCTTGTTTAGAACAAAGAAGTAACGTACCTTTGCCTCAGCCCTTTTAATAAATTTGTCAAATCATTCAATTAGTCATTGTCATAACTTCTCCACTCACACTTGCCTCCAGTCTTTTTTATCAACTGTCCGAAAAAAAGAAAAAAAAAAATTATATATAATATATATATATATATATATATATGACACCTGCTTACTCATATATCATGGTGTTATGAGTGAAAAGCATTTAATCTGATATTGTTCAATTAACACTTTAATATTTTTTTTTTCCAGGTAGACAGTGGAAACCGGTTGCTTGTTTTTTGTTTAGTGGTATATCAACACCTCTGGAATATTTAATGCTAAAATCGAAATATTTTTGTATACAATTTTATTTTATTTTTGGGAGATAATAATGGTTTAGTGATACCAGTCTTACTAATTAACCCATAGCTGAGGGAGAGAAAAGATGAATTCATACTTTCCAAGGATATTTGCCCATAAGTAAATATAACAAACCCAACTGGAATTGGAACTCTGCTCTCTGATTAACAATTCTGTCATTATCCATTACACCACCTTGCACATTCAAGCTTACAGAATCTGGTATTCCCGGATGGTCACTTGTCTAAGTACTGACCAGGCTCAATGTTGTTTAACTTAGGTGATCATATGAGAACCGGTGTTTCAACATGATGCAGCCATACACTTCAGTGGAAACAGGGTGAGCAATAATGGAGTAGGACAAAAAAAAAAATGGCAAAATATCCCTAGTTATGGACAATCACTCCCCTGACCCATACATTAAATAGTTCAGTTTAAAATTGCTTTAAGATTACTCTTTTATGTGATTCCTTGCGAATCCTCATCACCACTTTTGTGATGTTGGTCAGCTTAGCTTGGCACTTTTGTTATATCAAAAGAAAGCTCGCTATCACTTCCAAAAATGCTTGTTATATTCGAGATTTTGTTGTAATAATGCCTTCCAATAATAGCTGCACTAGTAATACTTGTTCAAGTAGTAATCGCCAAATAGGATAATGATCAGAAGAGAATCGTAATCCGTATAGTAGTTGAGCAGTAGTGGATAGACAAGAAGAATGGACAGTGATCATATAATCATGCTACTTTCTATTTATTCACTTCCTTTATGATCACATGATCTACTTAATAATGGAATCACTCATGTTATTCACTGGCGATTTAGTTTCAAACCTCAGTGTTGGCAATGACACTTACTCTTATACAACAATCCTGATTCACAGACACATGATGAAGGCTAGGAGCACGATGGCTGAAACATGACGATAACAAAAATGAAGACAGTAGTCTGAATGGAAATAATTTTAATAATACACTCCATCATGGTTATGTATCAAAGTGCAATTAAACTGAAGTTTTAAAACATTGTCCTGTAACACAGAATTGACATTGATGAAGTGGCAATTAAATGTTGAAAATAAATTTATGGCTATTCTTTCAATACTCACCATGTTCTATATTGCTGGATAATTGTTGATGATATTTTATTGATGATGTCTATGGTACTCTGTGGAAACCAATAAAAAAGAAATGTTATTCCATTTAAATCTTGTTTCTATCTGTATTTTTGGAGCAAGTAGTTATCAGTGTTTAAATTATATGTAGACTATTATCCTCATCTTTCTTCTTATCACAACCTTTTCACTATCGTGCCCTCCAGCTTTCATCAGGTGCATGTTAGTCCCGGTAACCTACAGGGAAATTCTCATTGAACCCTTTATTTAATTGACTGGAGTTGATTTTTCTCATTCCACTGCCTATGTAGTGCGATATCTTGTGTACTTATTGCTTGCACTATTTCCACTGAGTTCAAGTAAACTCTGACCAGTATGAGAATTAAACTCCTGATTATTATATGATCAAATTCACAAACCAACACTTTAATCCACTAAGCTAGGCTTATTATTGATACAAGAGGGTTATTGATATTTATTTCTGTGAAAACCAGCTTTGCAAAAAGAATATACTTTTGCTACCATCACTGTTCCTATCATGATTTTGTTTAGTTAATGATTCAAAAGGACAAATATTTTATATATTCATTTTTGGCTGATATGTATGTGACGTGTTGTTTGAAATCATTTGAGTACAAGTCTCCTTTTCTTATTAAGAATGATATTATTGTTATTATTAATAATAATAATCAGAGCAGTAAAATATGAGAAAATCAAATTTCAGAAATAATGGAATATTTAAAAAAAAAAAAAAAAAAAAATAACTCTAACAAGTCAACAAGAAACAATTTATTAGGTTACAATTATTCACACAAGTTCATTGGTACTCGAGAGAAACAGGATGTGTAGATGGTGTAATGGCGGCAGCTCAGAATGAGAAATTGGAGAACCAGGTTTGAATTCCAGTTGTGTTTGTTGCATTCAGTTACATACGAATACCCTTGGAAAGGTATAAATCCATCTATCCACCTTGGCTATGGACAAAATAATAGGACTTGTATCTGTATAATCATTATCTTCAAAAAATTGTTAATGAAACATTCTGTTATACCTGACGTACCTATTCTATTATTAATAGACTCTCCCACACATAATAAGTAGTAGTAGTAGTAGCGGTCGCCAGTTGGGCTCAGTGGTGAGTGAGTCTGTCCGATATTAAAGTATCAACCATCACAACTAGATTGCTGCGTCATTAACTCTTATTTCAAGTTCCTGACATTTTGTACGTCGAACCTAATTTAGGACGACTTATTGAGATACAAACCTCCACTGTGAAAACTACTCTACAACATTGGCGACGAGGGATTCGTAATTCACATGGGAAAAGAAAAATTTTTCGTTTACTCTACAACACATTCATTCCCCAAAAAAGAATATATTTACAATCCAAAACTTGTTTTGTCTTTAAATATCCCACAGAGGGTTGATAAACTGTAAAAAAAAAAAAAAAAAATCAAATGGATTATCTGAGACTCATTTTTTTAAATTAGCATAATTCCCCATGTGTAATACGCATTTTTTTCTAAAAAAAATAATAAGCAAAATCAAAGGGTGTGTATTATGCACAGATACAAAAAAAAAACTTCAAAAAATTGTCGATTTATGTTGCAAAATGACTATCCACCACAAACATAGGACAATTTGACACTAGTATTTGGTAATTGCACCCATAAGATATCAAATATAATCATATGTACCTAACAATACTTACAAATGTAAAATAAAATAAGAATTATCATGAACTAAATTAGAATAATATTATTCTATGTTTAAAACAATTTTTTGTGAAAAACAGTAGATTGTACATTTTATTGAAACAAAAACAGGTTAATGAGTCAGTGCAGTAGGCACAATATAAGTATTTCCATTTCCTTTTAGAATCATGATGGTCATAAATTTTGATGAATATCTTCAATTACAGCTTGAATAAGAGCAGGGAATGCTGGCCATATTGAAATTAGAGATGTACAATTTATAGGGTTTGATTACTAAACAAGGGGTGCATATTATGCATGAGTAGAAGCATTTTCCCACACTTTCAGCAAAACTTTAGGGGTGCATATTATCGATGAAGGCATATTATACATGGGGAATAGACAGCATGTGTTACATGGTTTCTTGAAAATAAAAGTTTCCTTTTAAAAAAGAAAAAATCATGAAGCATTTGAATTGGTAAGTATTAAAGAAAAAATAAATTAATTTGCAGCTTCAAGTATGCCATATAACTTTTCACTTGCAAAAATGTTCTCTATTGAGAAAACATCTTTTCTGTTACAATTTTTACAATGAGGAATTATTATTTACACTCAGACTATTGTCCTCATCTTTGTTGTTATTATCACAAATGTGATAATAACAACAAAGATGAGGACAGTAGTTCAAGTGTAAATAATGTAAATAATTTTTTTTTTTTTTTTTCATCATAAAATTTTAAAGAAAGAATTTCATTGTTTTCTTGAATTGTCATTAAGTAAATCTGATGTAAATGCTTAGAAAATTGCACAATTCAGTAATTGCTGAACTTAAAATGAATATGGAAGAACGATTTAACAATATTATCAACTCAAAGTTGCATTATTTGATGTGGAGGAATCATACTTCTATTATCTTTGTATAAATAAAGTGCTGTGTACATGCATTCATCCATTTTTTTGATCTCAGCAAATCCTAGACAACCTGAAGTAACAGGTAGTGACTACTAATGTAGTTACAGGCAATTGAAAATGAAATAATTATTGGACAGTGAAAAGTTTGAAAAACAATTCTTTATTGAACGTTTAACTTTAATTTCGCATTCCTTTGCAATTAAACCATAATTAAAATTTAAGTGAGGCACAATACATTGCTCATGTTTTTTTTTTTTCTTTTTCTAGTACATGTACTGTGACATATTCGAAATATTACATAGTTCAGGTTCTCTAATATCTTTTAAGAGTGACTTTATATGGAAGGATCATAAAGAATGGTGATTTTAAAATAAAATAAAAATTATTTACATTATTCAGACTATTGTCCTCATCTTTGTCGCCATATTTATCACGTTTCAGCTGTTGTTAGCTCCGGCCTTCTTCAGTCAGACTGAACACTTTATTTCGCTCACCAGGGTAGACTGTGCCATGTTTGATGGATGTCAGTTATCTCCTGTTAATTTCCCTCTGAAAGTTCTCCACTGCCTTAACCGGGTATTGAACTCACACTCTTTGGGTCCTGTCACTGGATCTAACCAACGCCTTTATCCACTGTGCCATGTGTCCTTGTGTAAATAATGTACATAATACCTCATCTCAGAAATATAGACAAAATAAAAATTGCGTGCAAAATAAATGCAAACAAACTACAAAGATTGGTTGTATATACAAAGAAAGATTATGCTGAATTAGGGTGTCAAATAAAGATAAAATAATATTATTATTTCTTAATTCTTATAACTTTGATGTACATAGGACACAGAAGGTAAAAGCCAGATGGTTCAAAAGCCCTTCACAGGAGCTAGCTTAAAGTGCACTCAAAGGGCAGCTTCTAGGATAGTTTATAATAAAAGTGTTCTCCATCCAATCTTGCAACTTCAAGTTGATAATGTTGTTAAATATAATTATCAAGAAGAATTGTTAAAATCAAGATTGGATGAAGAAGAAAGTAAATCCAATTTTAATTGTGGTGGTTGCTGAAACCTTATCTCCAAATATGTGGGAATCGGTTCTTATCTTCACCAACTTTGTATCTTGTGGCTCATACTCCAAGAAATTATTGGACAAAACAAAAAGGGTCTTTTACTGGTTCTTTACGAAAATTGTATTAGATATTTTTTAAAAGTTCTCCAGCACCAGTTTTAAGAAATTCTGTGAATTAAAAATAATTATGGAACAAATATGAGGATAAGTACATATTGATTGCTTCTTTTTTTTTTTTTTTTTCGTTTTGTTTTGTTTTTTAAGTTTACATGTGACATTTTTTATGTCAAATATTCATATTCATTTAAGAAAATGACTGCCTTTTAGCTTGACCAGAGTAATTCTTTTTCATCTTTATCTGTTTAAGTGTTGCAATAAAGATGCATGTTTTTTGTTGTTTTTTTTCCTGACCAATTGCATTACTACCAAGATTACCAACCAAAAGAGTGGCTTTCATTTTCATTGTCTAAATATAGGATAAAAATGTTGTATACTTTGGGAAGCGTGTACAGTTATCCGGAAATTAATCTATGTACTTTACATTTCTAATAATCTAGCCATTTAAAATTAAATGGCCTAACGGCATTTAAGACATCAAAGTTATCTCCCTTGAAATATAGATGATTGTAATATTTTACTGTAATTTTAATTTAATGTTATTAGTTATGCTGATAATTAACGATTAACTTCTTCTTTTTTTCTTTTAATTTAAAAACTAACCAGTGGTAACAGACATTTTACCATTACAAAAGTGGGCAACAATCGGTAAAAATATTGACGACCGTTGTTAAAAGGGACATAATTCTTATTTTGATGAAGTAAGAGTTATACCTCCTTTGGATGATAATCTACTAAATTTTTATTCAGCGGTCATGAGTTTACAATGCTAAATTAGTTGCAAAGGAATTATAATATATTATTTTTTTTTAATTTTAACAATGAAGTGATGTATGTCCTTACCATATCATATTAGGGCAAGAAAAGGCTCCTTAATTTTAACGCCTCTAAAATGTAAACTGGTCATTTAGAGAAACTCTTTCGTCTTACATAAGCATATGGTTGATGCTAACATCCTTTTAACTCATTTGCACCTTTTGGGGCTAACATTTACTGCAGGCGTGAAATGGAAAGATTATATTGAATAAATTGCTAAGGTCTGTTACAAAGAAAGTTGGTTTGCTGTTGGGCCATCTGTTGAATATTGCTGTCACATCTGGTCTGGTGTTTCTGCAATGTATTTAGTGATTCTTGGAAAAAATCCAAAGAAGAATCTGCAATGACCCTTCATCATGACTTCAGTCACTTTCCTACCTCCATAATGTAGCTTCCCTGTGACTTTTCTAAAAAAATTTTGTCGTAATTTTTCTTTGGTACCTCGACTTTATGAATTTAACCACAGTACTAGATTGGCAGTTAGGTCTCATCATTTAACAGTTGGAATGACTAAATGTAAGTTGTATACTAACAGTTTCTTCTAGTGCACTTCTTGCGTGTGGTACTATCTTCCAGCCAACTTTGATCTTCAAAAATTTAAATGCAATGTCAATCGTTATTTTCTGTATTCTTAATTCTTTCTCTTTTTATTATTCTTTCGCCTTAATGTATCTCTTTCTCATACTCAGTAACCCCTTGCATCTTAGTGGCTTTATTGCTTTGTTTGAGAGGAAATGACTAAAAAAAATCATAAATGAGTATACATTTATCACAATTTTTTTTTTTAGAAAGTTCATTTTTATTCTGAGTAATGTTCTCATTTTTATCATCATAATAGTGATGATAACTCTTCATCCCAGAAATCCAAACAAAAGTTTTTTGTTTTTTTCTAAATGTATAATGTTAGAAAAGAAAATTAAGCTAGATTTAGTAGCTGAATTTTCTTGTGTAACATTAATAGATGCCAGTTGGATATTAGCAGATATTATGAACAAAATATGTTGCCACCCCAAAATGAATACACACCAAGAAAAGGTTTTATTTCATTCTATATAGTAAGTATATATTTAAACTGTTTAATGAATAACCATGTATATGAAGTACATAATGTTAAAAATAATTCTGATAAAATCATAGTCTTGAATGTATGAAAGTTTCTTTGATTTGAAGGAAACCCATTTTATGAAAATTAAAAGTTTGCAGAAAATCCATATCAAGAAAGTTGACCATTACCATTCTAACATATCCATTTTTTTTAATTTTTTTTTCACCCCAAATATGGCGATAATGTCACTAAGAGACTACTGGGAGTGAAAGAATGAACTGAATGAACCAGAAACCCAATCCTAAACAAGGGATCTCCATTTTGTGTCAGATTATAGTGATTTTCACAAAATTTAAAATATTTTCATTATTTTGAAATGAGGCTACAAAATCATGAATAAAATCTATAGCTAGAGTTTTTATTTTTGAAATAACTAAATTGTTGGGTTTTGGGGTTTTTTTTTTTAAACCTAATACTAAAGAGTATTTTGGTGTTACTGTTATCTACTAATATTTGTTTTATGTTGATAATTATTTATATATTACCATGTCAGTCCTTAAATGTTTCCAACTTCGACTTGCTAGTGCTGCTCTCAGGCTTGATAAATAAGTAATATGTTGATAGTCATCTTTCCCTTGTTTAACACCTACTTTTCTGTTTCAGGTTACTGGAAGCAACAAAGGGATTGGTTATGGAATTGTCCGCGTTCTGTCAAAATCTTTTCAAGGGGACGTCTTGGCTACAGGTGCGTTACTGTTGCTTTAATTTTTTTTTTTTTTTTTTTTCTTCCTCCACAAAATAAATCTCAAAATTTATCCTGCATCTTACAATCTAAAGGTTGTCTTTTTTTCTTTTTCATTTTTTAACTTAAAATATTTACATGTCAAAATTTGGATGCATCCTTGAGGCTGGAGCATTGCCAATGTCATAAAATACAGTACAACATATAGGAGGCTAAAAAGAAGAATTTGTAATAGCCTACTGTTATTGTTCTATATACTTATGTATTGCCCAGCACAGGAATTGAACTCACAACTACCAGCTAAAAGAAACTAATACTTTGTTGCTGTTGGATTGGCCTATCTCACCTTTTCTTTGTGATGGGTTTTGACATAGAGCTTAATATAAGCCCAAGGTATTTCTTCCAGAGAGTGTACATTCATTTGCTTCAACATTGGTAGCAGAGTGTAACTCCTGATATAAGTAGTGATGGCTTCCCTTAAGCAACCAGCCATATTCAACCCTAGCCATTGTGACTCATTTACAGACTGGAAAGCAGATGTAGAAGTTTGGAGATTATTTACAAAGCATGAAAAATGTAGACATGTTTCTGTAGTTTATTTAAGAACATATGGAGATGCCAGAGAAGCTGTTCGTTGAATTGGTCCTCTTGAATTAGCAGATGATGAACTTGAAAAAAGTGATTGCTGCCTTAGATGCTGTTTACCTAAAAGATGAAACCACTTGTGCATTCTGCGTTGTGAAGTCTTTTGTAGCAGGGGTCGGCAACCTACAGTACACATGTCACATGTGGCACACCAAGCAATTTCTAATGGCACGCAGCCGCAAATGACATCATGAAGTCTGAACCAATAACTACCACAACACAAAGAAGATATTTAGCTGTTTCAATTTTAATACATACTAAAGTATATATCATACTTATTATAAAACCCAGGTTGTGTGTGTGTGTGTGTCTGTTCGTTTATATATTGGATCATTTTTCAACTGATTTCAACAAAACTTCACAGGACTACGTAAAATTACCTTGCGGTGGTTCTGACAGCGCCAAAAATTGGAAAAAACAATTGCTTTTGCATGAAATCAATTTGAAAACACGATTAAGAGGCATTAATAAAAGAGGGACAATTCATATCGAGTTATACTTATTATAAAACCTGGGTTGTTTGTGAGTGGGTGTGTTCATTTATATATGGGATCGGATTTCCTACATTTTTCAACCAATTTCAACAAAACTTCACTTTTTTTTTTTGGCAGGTAGTGTTTCTTATTGTCTTGCACACTTTTTTCTTTTATTTTTACATTCAGAATGCTTTAAAAATTCCATTTACAAGACAATTGTTTATAATAAAATTCTATTCAATCGGTAGACTCATAACGATTGAAAACAATGTTTTCGTTTGGGTTTGACCAATTCGTTAAAAAAAGAAAAAAAAAACTAATTAACACATGCATGTCCGTCAACCTTAAAAAATAATCCTTGTCAATTTTATTTTTCAGTCTTTATGATGGTAGATACTTGTTACATTCCCAGGCAACGCTGGGCTCTACTGCTAGTACTATACATTACTATATAAAATATATTGTAGAATGGGTATATTGACCTTGACTTGTATAAAAATACATATGCTGTTAGCACATTGAATGATTTTAAAACCCTAAGTCGGCATATAGTTAACAAAAGGTTGCTGACCCTTGTTTTATAGTTTTGCAGGGAAGGTTGTAAATGTAGATTATAATGCAATACTTAGTAGAATATTTGATACTTGATACTATCAGATTTTATTATGTGATTTGAGCTAAAGGTTACATAAAGGCAGATTCTCCACAGTAATTTTCAGTGATGAATGTAGAGCTACATTGGCTGATTGGGCCCTTCAAATAAATAGTTAAACAACACTGTTTAGAACATGGGTCAGCAAGCTTTTGCTGACTATATGCCAACTTAAAAATCATTCAGTATGCCAACAGCATACATATTTTTATACAAGCTATGGTCAATATCCCTGTTTTACAATATATTTTATATAGTAATATTTACAATAATATGTAAACCACATTAATAGAAATAAACTGTTCTTTTTAATCTTTTTTTTTTTGTTTTTTAAGTTTTTATTATTAATGGGAGTCCAACGAGTGAGCAGTTTTGAAACAGATAAATATTTTCTTTGCATTGTAGTAGTTATTGGTTCAGACTTTGTGATGTCATTTGTGGCTTCATGCTATCAGAAATTGCTTCGTGTGGCATGTGTGCCATAGGTTGCCGATACCCTGGTTTACAAGACGACAAGGGACAACGTGGGTTAATGTTTTGGGCTGATATTCTAGGCAGTAAAATTATAGGATTCTTCAAATTTCATGATGGTATCAAGATAACTGCTATTCTTGGATGTTTTTTACACAGTGCATGTGGGTCAAGAAAAAAAAATCTTTGATATTCTACAAAGTTGACAATTGTCTATCTTGCCAAAAAACATTTCAAAGGCAATAAATTAATGAATCCATACCCAGCCACTCCAGCTATTAATCTTATAGAAAACTAGTGGTCCTAAAGCGATGCATATAAGAATGGAAAGCCATATTCAAGATCTCTGGGAAGCAATAAAAACTGCTGCAAAAATCCTGTTTAGGATTGGGTTTCTGTCTGTTTCAATTTCTCCACCTAAACTTTAAAATTTTATTTACTAATTATTTGTCTGTATTTCTGATATTGTAACTATTTACATTGTTCAGACTGTTGTCCTCATCTTTGTTGCTATATTCATGATATTTCGGCTGTTGTATGCTCTAGCCTTCTTCAGGTGATATTTGTTGGAATTTCAACCCAAACCCTTTATTTAGTGCATGGGAGTAGATAGTTCTAATTCCTTTGAATGTTTTAGTAAGTAGTGGGAACACTGAATCAAATGTGGCAGCAATATTCTAAACATGGATGAATGATAGACTTATAGATATGTATGACAGTTTCTGGAGATAAAAATTTGTCTAGCACAACACAGTAAACCAACTTTCTTAGCTGACCTAGCAATAGATTCAGTATAGTCTTTCCACTTCATGTCAGCCATGGTGATGGAAGACAGGGGTCTCTCAGATGATTAATAAAGAGCAGTTTAGTTTTGAAGGCGTTAAATTTAACAAGCCATCCTTTGTCCCAGTTAACAACAGACTGAAGGTCATTTTGGATATCAGCCACGATTTTGACCATATCAAACTAATCAGACTTACTATTGAGACAAGATTAAATGGTTGTGCCATCAGCATAGATACCAAGTTGAGAGTTGATGCCATCGAGAAGATCATTAATAAAAATTAAAAACAAGGTAGTAGCAAGTATGGTGCCTTAGGTACGAAAGGAACTGGAACAGTGGCTATTCATGATTAACTTTCATTTTACAATTTGATAGGAAAGATTGGATCATTTCAAAAATTTGTCCAGAGACATTGTAACTTTGCAGTTTGTGGAGAAGACCTGTATGCCAAACCCTGTTTAAAGCTTTCGAGATGTCCGAAGCTAGAACACCGACTTCATCATTGTTATGTAGAGCTTGATAGATTCTTTCTGCAATTATTGTCAGTACATCAGTAGTTGACCTGGAGAAACAAAAGCCATATTGCTTGTCTGACAAAAGGTCCTGCAATGTTAGATAATTAACCAATTTGGCATTGATTAGGACCTCTGGGAGTTACTCAAAAAGAAGTAGAAGGCTGATAGACCAATAATTGAAAGGTTCACCAGAAAACAACTCTAAGGTGGCATGCAGAGCCTTGGCAGCTAACAATTGTATTGAGAAGTATGCCATCTTTGTGGATTTGGAGTAGACCTTATATGTGAGGTAGTTTGTGGTAATGCTGTGACAAATGACCGTATATCTTAGGTGGGAAGTGGTTATTGTTTTTAATTAGGATCTTCGACAGTTTTCTTTTTGTTTTTGTTGTTGGATCTTCCTTTACAATAACTACCATTTCTAATGAGGTCATCCCGTTTTCTTGTATATTCTGTTTTGTTCATCACTATAGTCACATTGCCTTTGTCTGCTGGTATGTAGTATGACAATGTTGTCATTCCTCTGTGAGGTTTTGATTGCCAGCCTCTCAGCACTGACAACAGAAAACTTATCAGGGGAAATAAACTGAAACTAAGACATCCAAAGACATGGTATGTGGAATTAGAACGATAAAACCCCTGGGGACTAAATAAAGGGTTCAGTTTGAAATTCCAACAAATATCACCTGAAGATGGCCAGAGTGTATGTAGAAGTCAAGTGACTTACCTGCTAACATGGCTGCTTTTTTGTTTCTCCTTGAAAAAGCAAGCCAGCTAATTTCACCTCATTTTTATGGGAGAATGCCTAATGTAGCAGGTGAGTTGGTCCATCTTGCTAGAGTGGACTTGCCAAACACATTTGCATAAGTGGTCTCTATTCAACCATATAAAGTAACTCAGAATTAGTTTTAACTTGGTGGCTACACTAGTCTACTTGTGTGTCAGACCACCTGCAAGCTAACTAACATTTTACAGTGTATAACAGCTGAAACATTGTGAATGTGACAGTAAAGGTGAGGACAATAGTCTGGACAATCTAAATAATGTAAATACTAAGTATTCATTTTTTTTTTAATGTGGTCTAATGGATATCAGCTCCAAATGAAAAATCAGGGAATTGAGTTTATTACATTTTACTTATACACGAATAACCTTGGAAAAGTATGAATCTATCTCTTCTGTCCAACAGTTATCAGTTAAATAGCAGGAAAGACTTGCTTTTATAAAAGCCTAAGTTGACAATCACTACTGCAGGAACATTTTCTGCTTGATCAGTCAAGCATGTATCATATATTGCAATTAACTCACTGAAGGAAGAGTAGATATGTTCACCACCCCTCATAAAACAATGACAGCCTGTGCATCCACTGTATAAGATTTTATGATGCATGTCAATGTTTACAAAATGAATTTAGTATTGACTAACCAATCCTCTTAAAACGTTCATGATATATTTAAATGCTCAGTATACCATACCATTGCTTGTAATAGTTACCCTCATTAAAATAAAATATTGATAATAACCTGTTTTGAAAGTGTCAGTTTTTATTATGAAAGAAAAAAGTGCAACATAAGTTTTTTACATGTAAATTAATCCAAACTATGTGTCTGAATAAATTATTATTCAACAATTGATGAATCACTGGAGTAATGTAATATTTGTCCTCCTCGAAAGCAGTGAATGCTGGAAAATCACACCAGTGAAGAGACTTAAAGCAACAGAAATGTGGTTCTACAGAAGGATGCTGAGAATGTCATGACCAACGAGGAAGTTTCAAGGAAAATGGAAACAAAAAGGATACTTATGCTTAGAATCAGAAAGATCCATTTGAAATTTCATAATGAGAAAAGAGGATTTAGAGAATTTAACACACACAAGATATGAGACCTATTTGCCAAGCCAGTAGTATGGTTAAATTCATAAAGTTGAGGTACCAAAGAGGAAGTCTCATTAGGACAATAGCCATGAAAATATTCATAGAAAAGACAGTGGGAAAGTGACTGAAGTAAAGGTGCCGGGTCAGGACCAAATAAGAAGACGTGGAGAGTCATGATCATCCACGTCCTGAAGAGAGACAGCACATAGAAGAAGAATTAATCTGTATATCACTACGTAATAAATAATTGTCTATATCTTTATTCTCATACATATGATATATTAACCAAAGTGAACCGTTGTTGCTGTAATTGATATTCATTTATGATGGAAGCTTAACATTAGTAATGTCCTTCTTCAGGCTGTTGCTGATCATGGCTCTCCACAATTTCCTGTCCTTTGTAGCACTTAATAAATTTTGTCTTTCCTATAAATTGATGAATCTCTTTAGTTTTAAGGAGATCTTCTATGAATGGCCAACATTTTAACCCTCTTAAAACTGTATTTCATTTTTTTAGATGAGTTTTTAAGAAACAGAAAAAATTGTTAGGAACAAAGAAAAAAGTACTGAACTGTTACATGATATATGCCTCCACCTCCATATGGAAGTGAATGCTGGATAATCTCATCAAAGATGAAGAAGACTTAAAGCAACAGAAATGTGGTTCTACAGAAGGATGCTGAGAATGTCATATGACCAACGAGGAAATTTCAAGGAAAATGGAAACAAAAACAGTTTATACTTCAGAAAGAGTGAGTTGAAATTTCTAGGGTACATAATGAGGAAAGAGAGCTTGGAAAATCCGATACTCACAGGACAGATTGAAGGCAAGAAAGACAGAGGAAAACAATGCATAATCTACTTGACGTGCTTGAGTAAATGGTTGGACAAACAGTGATTAGGAGAGATAGGAAAAAAAAGACAAAATGCATAAGGGAATGTTGTAGAGAAAATGGTAAGAAAAGGTTATTTGTACTTAATATCAAGAAGAGAGTTGAAATTTCTATGGCACATAATGAGTAAAGAGAGCTTGGAAAATCCGATACTCACAGGACAGACTGAAGGCAAGAGAGACAGAAGAAAACAACACATACCATATATACTTATGTAATGCACAATCTTGCATATCATGCAACCCCCAAATTTTCACTTATAAAAAATGATTTTATCATGAATCTCGTATATCATGCAAGTTTCTTTTTTGAGAAATCAAATTATAATAGTCTAACCTCTTGTCCTCTCTCTCTCTTTATCCCATCTTCTAGTTAGATAAGTTAAAAAATAAAAATAAAAGTATCATTAGTAACACTACTTGTTGTGTAAACACGTAAACAACTGAACAAGAAACAGCTAAACATCTTATAAATGTAAACATTGGAAAAGATTTGTATTTCATAATACAATACTAATATGTAAATGTTACATGCATTATTATTAGATACAGTTAAGTAAAACATCAGCTTTATCAACATCATACTTATTTTAAATACAACTGTACTTTTTGACTACAGTAAATGCATATGTAGCTTGGTCAATGGCATAACCAAGGCCAGCAGTACATATGCTAATTTTATATTTCGTGTATGATGTGATCCCCTTAAAATTACCTGAAAAATTAGGTCTTCAAAAGTAGCATGATACACTAGTACATACAGTTATTTATCTAGCAAGCTTGAATAAACGGATGGCAGAACAGGGTTTAGGAGGAAATAACAAAATGACAAAATTTATTAAGAGCTACAAAGGACAGGAAATCACCTGTTATGTGCCCTATGTCATGAAGAAGAATTGTCAGAGCATACTTTAAGTATTTTAGACTATTGTTCTCAACTTGATTATTATAGATGATGTTATTGACACCTGATGAAGGCTAGAGGGTACTTTTTCGAAATGTTGTCTATAATGACCTCTCTAACAATCAAGATGAGTGTGAGTTTTTTTGGTTGTTTTTTCTTTTTTTTTAAACCCCTATGTGTGTTTTGCAGCTCGTAATGTTGCACGAGGAGAAGCTGCAATAGCTGAACTGAAGAAAGAAGGTCATGAAGCCAAATTCTATCCACTGGACATCACTGACCCAGAGAGTGTAGCCAATCTGGCCAAATATCTTAAAAAGGAATATGGAGGTTTGGACATTCTCGTCAACAATGCTGGTATTGCCTATAAGGTTTGTTTCTTTTAAAATATCTTCTTATTCTATTTGTCCCTCTCTTAATTCACATGTATATACGTTATGCCATGTTACCTTATAAATATTGGACTATTCCGTTTTGACCATGTCGAAAAATGGAAAAGACATTCCAGCAATGCTACTTCGTTTCAGTGAGAAAATGAAAGGAAGATAGACTTGTTCAATGTCCATTTCAGTGATATGGAAAAAGTTGCCAATTTCAAACCTTTTCATTTGTACCGCTTTTACTTTTTAAAATAAGGAGCATTCATATTTATGATTGTTATTACAATAATTTGTTAAAGTTGTTAAACTTGCATATTTAATGATTACTAAGGGAAATTCTGCAGATATTTTACTGTCATAGAACTCACCATGGGTTTATTCAATTAGTAACTTCAGAATTATGATTGATCAGAAAATTCAATTAGAGAAACTCAAATTTTCAGGAGTATTTCTATTTTAACTTTATTATAGTGATAACTATGCCTTTTTCCACTTTGTTTGCTACTATTCACTGATTTTTATAGTCTAGCTTATTCTATGATTTTTATAATCTAGCATTCTGTGCTATTCACTGTTTTTATACTCTAGCTTATTCTATGATTTCATAGTCTAGCATTCTATGCTATTCACTGATTTTTATAGTCTAGCATTCTATGCTATTCACAGATTTTTATAGTCTAGCTTATTCTATGATTTCATAACCACCATTCTACACTATTCACTGTTTTCATAGTCTCGCTTATTCTATGATTTCATAATCTAGCATTCTATGCTATTCACTGATTTTTATAGTCTAGCATTCTATGATTTCATAGTCATTCTGATTTTCACTGATTTTTAGTCTAGCATTCTATCCGATTCACTGATTTTTATAGTCTAGCATTCTATGCTCTTCACTGTTTTTATAGTCTAGCATTCTATTCTATACACTGTTTTTATAGTCTAGCTTTCTCTATGATTTCATAGTCTAGCATTCTATGCTATTCACTGTTTTTATAGTCTAGCTTATTCTATGATTTCATAGTCTAGCATTTTATGCTATTTACTGATTTTTAAGGTCTAGCTTATTCTATGATTTCATAGTCTAGCATTCTATGCTATTCACTGATTTTTATAGTCTAGCATTCTATGCTATTCACTGATTTTTATAGTCTAGCATTCTATGCTATTCACTGATTTTTATAGTCTAGCTTATTCTATGATTTCATAATCTAGCATTCCTCCTCTCCCCACAAAAATAATTATTACTACAAAGTTACCAAAATAAACCTTGTTTATAGTGCTTAGTAAAATCTGTTTATACAAATCATGTCTGGAAATGACATTTAAGTAGCAATGAGATATAAAAATCTAAAAAGGCTGGTTCTACAGTCTGAGGTCAGTCCCATAAATCATCTCAGCCGTATCACTGTATTCATTCTTTAGAAAAAATATGTTCAGTATAGCACTCCATTTAGAGCAGTAAGAAATTTGTTTAATTTTGTTCTGCCAATAGGTTTAGTAAACAAATCTGCAACAATTTTATTGTACCTTTTTTTAATTTCAGTCCTTATGAAGTGATACTTTGTGTTTTGAACATTTGCTGGTAGACTGGATTCTTAGCTAAAGCAATAACCTCATTATCACAGTAGATTATGGCTTGGTATTTAGTTGCATTAATTATGGTGGCTAATAATAGACTAAGGAATTTTGTTTCTCTTATGGCAGCTACTAATACTGTGTATTCTGCTTTACAAGTTGATAATGCCACTGTAGGTTGCTTTCTCGTTTTTCATGAAATCATTGAACTGTTTCGTGCTAATTGGAAACCATATCCTGTAATACTATGGCAATCTTTTGAATTTCCTCAATCAGCATCACAAAAACAAAAACAAAAGTTAGAGGATTATTTGAATTATTAAACACTAAACAGTGTGTTTTTGTCCCTTTCAAATAGTGCAAGACTTGTTTGGCTCTTATCAGGTGATCCATGGTCGAATTTATGAACTATTGTGACAGTTTTGTTACCACGTAACTAATATCAGGATGAGTGGTGATCATAACATATATAAGACTGCTATCTCTCAGTAATATTTTCCATCTACTGGTTCAGCATTGCTCTCATCCATTAGATTGATATTGATTTCACAAGGCATTAATCTAGGTTACAATCTAAATAATTTTAAATTTGGTTAGAATCTTTTCAATATATTTTGTTTGATTCATTTCTATACAATTGTTTTTAAACTTAAACTGTATTCCAAGAAAGAAAGAAAGATAGATTTCCAAGATCATTCATTCTGAACTGTTCACTTAAATATGTTTTTGCATTATTTAATGCAGAATTGCAACTGGCACCAATTAATATATCATCAACCCAAACAATCATAATCAATATCGTATTAGAAGTGTTTTTTGTGTAAATACAAGAATCTGCCAAGGATTGAAACCTTCACCAAATGTGTGAAGAACTTGACTCCAATTTCCTTAATCACCATAAAAGTTTATTATTGTTTTTATTGCGAATAGAGTAGCCCATTGGTTGTTTGATATACATTTTGCAGTCAATCAGTGCATTTCAATATGCTATTTTTACATCCATTACAAATTTATGCTGAACATCTAATTTCATTAAAATTCTTACCAACGATAATCAAGTTGTAAGGGATAAAGTTTCATTATAAACTATCTTTGTGAATAGCCTTTTGTAACAAATCTTGCTTTGAACTTTTCACTAGTGTCATTTGTTTTACTTTGTGTCCACCCATCGACTACCCACAACAGTTTTACCAGGTGGAAGCTCTATTAATCCATATGTATTATTTACTTTAGAGCAGCTATTTCTTTTTCCATGGCCTCTCACCATTTTATAGAGTCATCTGAAGTAATAGTTTCTTCATAATTAGTGGGTATATTTTTTACCAAACAACAATAATCTACATTTGGTTTTACTTCATCTAAATTTTTAACAATGTAATCTTGTAAATATTCAGGTATTTTTCATAACCTGCTTGGGGATCATCTCTCTTGTATTTCTGCACTAGGATTATCTCCTGTATTATCAGTTGAATTTCTTGATTGTGGCAATTTTCTTTCTTTTGTACCCTCCCCACAATAATTTTTTGGCCAATAGTCATCAAGTGTTGCATCATTTTCTTAACCAGAATACAACAATCATCTGATGAACGTTCTTTAAGTTTTCAGTAAATGTTGTACACTTGACTCACTTGACGTTCTTCATCTCAGGTGTATATGCTAAACAGGCGGGACTAGATTTATCGTAGCCTATGAAATTTGCTTTTTCAAATTTAGTGTTCAATTTCTTGTATGCATGCATAAATTATTTCCAAATATACGCATATTAGCGAGGTTAGGTTTGCAATCCGTAAACATTTCAAAGGCAGTTTATTTGTTCTTTGATTTCTAATATAGGCAGCAGTCATAACATACAACCACAAAAACTTTGGTAGCTTTGATTCTTTTAATAGACATCTACACATTTCGAATAAAGAACACCAACATCTTTCAGACATACCATTTTCATGTGGAGAATATGGAGCAGATTTCTCATTTAATTTTATTAAAAGATTTTAGAAGTGAATTCCATGCCATTATCACTTCTTAAGCATTTTACAGAGCCATAACAGGCGATGTCAGCCAGATATTTCTTTGTGGCAGCATATGTGTTGCTTTTTTGTTTCAGAAAATATGCCACAATTCGACCAGAATAGTTGTTCAAGGCATGAAACAAAGTGTATACTTAAAGCCATTTAAAGATCTTGGTTCAGTTGAGCCAGTGAGATCACAATAAACAAGGCTCTAATATTTTAGTTGCCTCTTTTATCGGATAACTTGTTTTTATACTGTACCATTTTTGCTTTGGTTACAGGTTTCACAGTTTGTATCTGATTTATCAACAATTTTAATGCCTTCCATGACTTTGTCTTGGAAAGACTTTCAGATTGCAATGCTCAAGAATTTGATGCCATTGTTTTAGGCTGCACATAGCAGTTTTGACGGTTACTGCAGTGTTTAAATAGTATAAACGTCCATTTCTTTTTATGTTGAATCTAACACCATTATGGTAAATAAGTTCCAAGTAATTCCAACCAAATTTAACAGAAGCTTTTTTTTTCGGTAGCAGCCTGTACCAAGAATATATTTTGTTTGAGTGTAGGAATATGTAGAGCATTTGTTAAAATGCAGTCACACACATTTCTGTCTGTATCGGTTGTAGTGATTTGAGCATTACGTCTTTTTTATAGCAATATTACTGGTTTGACTACCATCTGTCAGTTTGATATGATGATTTTCCTGGATTATTATCGAAAGTAAGAAATTTAGATTCATCAGCAATCACATACGTGGTAGCACCACAATTGACAAGTAAGCAATTTTCATTGGCAACTGTTTCTAGGCCAACTGAAAACATAAATGAATGTTCATTATCTGAAACATGTTCCACATTTTTTACAAAATAGGCTTGCTTTTTGTTTCTGCATTTGGTACTCTTTTGTCCCATCTTGTGACAAGCATGATGGATTTGGGGTGGGTGGAATTATAGCATTTTGATGGGGAAATATTCACTGGATATTTACACAACTTATTCTGGTAATCAGGACTCTTATGCCCAAGTTTACCACAAGTAAAACAGGTTGGTACATTAGTTTGGGTCTTGGCATTGGGCGTGACATTACGGTATTCTCACTATTATTATTATGAATCATTTTTTCAGTTTCTTCAAAGTTTCAGAATGGTACTTTAAATTCACTAAACATTAGTAGCTAGTCTTTCTGAGTGATAACAATTGTAAATGGTTTGAAATCAGATGGAAGGCCTTAAACCATCACCAAGAATTCCCCCAGAAATCTTTAATAAAGTGGCCGATTTTTCAGCTCGAATAATATAATCCACAATAGTTTCAGTACTGGCTTTGCATAGGGATGTTAATTCCATATACAGGGAAATTATTTTTGGCATTACTTTCAATAAATGGTGCTCTCTCTCTCAAAATTTGCAGTGCTTTTGTCCCATCATCAGGGGATTCTCTCATAATAAGAGATAAACTTTGATCGTCGAAAATTTGAATTAATTTGGCAAATGTGTTTGCATTCTTTTCACAGTAGTGTTCGTCATTGGAACGATCAAAAGGGGCCAAAATTATTTTGTATAATTTTTGAATCCACATGTAACCCGAAAACTTTACTTCCTATAGCTCATATTTCAATTTGTCACCATTAAAACAGCCTATTCCTGGGCCTGTAACCGGATGAGTTAGAAGCCATTGTTAAAGTGCAAGATGACATGATCAGAATTAATAAAGTTTGCAATGAAAAGAAAAAAGGTCAAAAAGGTGAAATAGCAACAATTATGCAAGCAAACAAACAATATAGTTAAAGCAAATCAACATTGATAAGAAAGCAAAAGAATTCACAAACTAAGAGTTGGTGTTTGTACACAAAAGCAAGGTCAACCAAGTGAACACAATATGTCTGTCTCGTAGTTAAGGCAGATCTGGACTGAGTCATGTCAAAACGCAAGCCATCCCATTTTATTGGCTAAGAAAAATATCCCAGCATGCATTCTGTGTCTTGACTATGAAAGACGAAGAGGGAAAACTTTTTCAATCATTCCATTCCAACCTTGGGAAATCAACAGGATGACATGTAATAAACACACATGCTTAATACCTGCAAAGTATTTTTCAGTCTTCCATAGCGAACTGGTTTCATAAGATCACTAGAAACACATTTGGTTACCTCAAGACACTACTTAGCTTTTTTTCCGTGCGTGTAATACTTGCTTGACTGAAATCCAACTCAATATTAGCAGTTTCCTTAAAGGACTAGTGTTACAGAATCATAAAGAACTGTACTTAGCCAATAAAATGGGATGGCTTGCGTTTTGACATGACTCAGTCCAGATCTGCCTTAAAAAAAAATTTGGGGACCTATTTGATAGGTGAAGAGGCTTGTGTGTCATTTGTAAATAAATAAATTAGGTAGTACCATGGACTTTCTAAAAAAAAAAAAAAAAAAAACATATTCTAAATATTTTAAATGCCTTCTTTAAAATTAAATTTCAGTTTCATTTGAAAGATAATGGCTTAAACCTAATCTGAATTATAAGAAAAATTAATTTCTGTATATATAAACAAACATTTCAGGCATGTTTAATTAGTACTTTTTTCAATGAATCATCAAGCTGGCATGTTACATGAAAAATGTAAACAACAAATTTAAAAATCTCTTTAAAATCCAATATTTATACTAGAGATGTGTTTCAAAGTCTATTAGTAAATTTAAGGTTTAATTAACTGGATTTTTTAAAAGTGATGCTTATCTTTTATTTAAATCAGAATAAAATAACATTTTATTTTTGCATGCTGGCCTGTGAGGTCAAAGGACAAAATAGAAATGCTGTCATTCTCCTACTGTTTTTACTTTTTCTTTTTCTAAAAAAGAATGGGAAAAAGTAATAAATCTTAAGCAAATACAGAAGACCAGCAGTGTAATAATTAAGAATTTGTTGTTTTTTATGTTAAAAACTAAATTTTCTTTGACCTTATATAACCAGTAGTTTCAAAGAGTGATGGGTAAATTGTTGACATTTTTTAGTTTTAAATTCACATATCCATGTTTGTTTTTGTTTTGTTTTTTTTTCAATTGCACAGTATAGTAAGGTCAGTTGGGCGTCATCTGTGAGAAAAAGAGCATGTGTTTTATGAATCTACTCACCATTTTTATATGACAATTTGCTACAATGAATTGGATTTTTTCTCTTTTCTCTTTTAGAATGCATCAACAGCTCCTTTTACAGAGCAAGCATCAGTCACCGTGAAATGCAATTTTCATGGGACCTTGAATGTATGCAGACAACTCTTCCCATTACTCAGGCCTCATTCTAGGTATGTAATATGATTTGCAATTTTCTATGTACTATGCTCTTTCACAATGTAAGTGTTCATGGCTCCTCCCAACTTCTTTTCTTCCGTCCTGTGTATGGCGACAAACTACATCCGTGTCCTGGGTGTGACGATAAACTACATCCGCATCATGCGTAAGACGATAAACTATGCCCAACAGCAAGGCCTATGATAATACATTTTCTAAAAATAATGTTGCTAGCTGTACGTTTTTGAAAAAAATAATATTACCAGCTATACGTTTTTGAAAAAAATAATATTACCAGCTATACGTTTTTGAAAAAAATAATATTACCAGCTATACGTTTTTGGAAAAATAATATTACCTACTATACATTTGGTATACTCTGGTATTTTTTCGAGGAAAAAAATATTAACAGAAAAAGATTTTTGACAAAACAAACATATTACCGGGGGGGGGGGAGTTGTCGGCATTAAATGACCCATTGAGGTGTTGATATGCTGTAAAACAAACCAAACCAAACCAAACTTCTTTTCTTGCTCTAAGTAATTCTTGCTTATTTACAATCCCTCTGCCTCTTTGTTCTACCATTTTTTACACAAATTAAAGTTGTTTACTGTTTTCCCCTTGCTTTCAATATACCTTGTGAATGTTAAATTCTCCAAGCCTTCTCTTCTCATCTGTTCAAAAAAATTCAATCACTTTCTGATTAACAACTTCTTTGTAGTTCCTCTTAAAACTTTCTCATTTCTCACATGCTCAGCTAATGTTGGTCTCAGGAGAGCCACATATTTCTGACACTTCAAGTCTCATTTTCATCTGAGAGGAGAATTTCCAGGATTCTCATACATAGAACACATTCAATATTATCTACCACTTCAGCACTTTTTTTTTTCCCCTAAGGACATTTTCCAATCCTTTAGTACATCCTGCATATAATGATAAACTACAACTGTTTGCTGGTTAAGACAATAAACTATGTCCAACAGCAAGGCCTCTGATCAGGAGGTTTTGAGGAGCATGGAACCACCTCTTAATTGCTAGTGTTCCCAGGTCCATCCTGAACCAGGGTGGTAGCACCTGTTGGGTCCCACCTATGGGTAAATAGTTAAACCCCGAATTGGAGTCAAAACACTATGAAAGTGTAAAAATAGATTTTAATACCAGCAATATATTTTCGTAAAAAATTATTACCAGCAATGTATTTTTGAAGAAAAATTATTACCAGCAAAAGATTTAAAAAAAGAAAAAAAAAAAATTACCAGCAATACATTTTCAAAAAAAAAAAAAAAATATTAGCAGCAATAAAAATTTTGTCAGCATTATCAACCCATTGAGGTTGATATGCCACAAACCAAACCAAACCTTGCTTAGTTTCTGAGAGTTTATAAGAATTACATAAAAATAGGTACCTCCACTGAATTTTTGATACCTAAGGTTTAAAATAATTTTTTAAAAATGAAAGCACATTCTTGAAGATTTCATTTTTGCTTTAATTGAAAGCTAAATGATTAAATTTACTATTTCCAGTAAGCAAAGTACTCTGGTGTATTTCAACTAGAAATTATATTGATTGGAATGTCAACTTTTTGCTCACTTTCAAAAATCAATTGCAATCTGCCATTTTCTCACATTTGTAAACAAAATTTAATTATCAGTTCTAAAAATCTTCCAGAAATAAAATATATATTTGTGATGTGCTATTTGAGAAAACTTAGTAAATTTAAAGTTAAATTAATCTGATTTGAAACAAATATTGATTACAGCATAAAAAATATAGGATACAAGCATTTCTTAATGACAGGTTCTGTTTTTCTGATGCCCTAGTTGATGTTATTGACAGGCTAAGGTGTTGACAGCTAAGTATGGATGATTAAAATTGGCATAAATTTACATTAATTTAAAAAAACTAAGTGAATGCATTTTTTGTTTTTTATCTATCTAGCAATTTTACACAATTAACATATTTTTCAGCAATTATCTGATATTTTATTGACTTTCAATTACTATAGTGTTATGTACTGATTTTTTTTTTTTTTTTTTTTTTTTAAATATTCTTAATGTGATTTCTGCCTTGTTAATCATATATAAAATTCATTTGGGGATGTTTTTTTTTATTTTTCTGCTTTTCTTTTTTTTTTTCTTTTTTTTTTAAATTCTAAGTATTTCTTTCCAGTTCTATTCTTGGAATATCTTGGCCTTATTTCTTAATTGTTGAATCTAATACCACCTCAATCCCCTTTCATGGCCTCTGAAATGGTGAAAGTTAGACATTAAGACATGTATTATTGTTCTCTTCAGCATATTGACAACACTAAGAATTTGACCTAATTCTCTCAGTGTTGTGCTTGTTTTCTTTTGTCACTGCCTCTAACAGCATAATTTTCTTTGAATTAAAAAAAAAAGGAAAATAACTTTTGTTGGTTTCCGTTTTTCTCACCTCATTAGGGTGCAATGAAGCTTTAACTAAGTCAAAATTTTATATAATCATCTTTTTTCATTCTTTTTTACCCCATGCTCATAAATATTTACTAGTGCTCTCACAATTTTTATTTCTACAATAATATTTAATCTATTTGAGGTAGGGGACACTGATGCACACCCAAGCAACCTATGTTATTCCCTCTATTCACCCCATGGGGGGCTTTTAGTCCTCATATATGAGTGAGCTTGTCTCAGTACCTGAGTACATTATTTCTGACTTCAGGTTCTGTTGCCCTGATTTCTTGCTAGGTGAGACCTGTGCACACACATATGGTATCACAACTGTATCATCTTCTCTAGATTATCCGTTCCTTCATTAAGGATACTGGAGCTAAACGTTTTCTGGGTTTTGGTGTTATCTGCCTGATAGTCAGGAATCCAAACCTTTCAGTAACTTCAAAAGAGGCTATCCTATCAGCAAGTGTATAATATCAGCTCTATTGTACTGTTATTTTGTAAATGCATTCTCGATTACACAGTAGTCTCTGATAGGGCCCCCTCAATGCCATGATGAAGGGTACTGTTGCGGCTGTAGCTTTGGACTTAAACCCAAATTGTTTATGCATGTTTCTCCTGTTGGTATGACTGTCTCACTTCTTCGTGTTCACTTGAACACTGTGATTTCTAACCATGACCACAATAAAATTTAGAAAGAAAAAAAATAAAAACCAATCTAACAAAAACAAAAGGTGACCCCAGATTCACCATCTCGTGCACCAATGTGAAGAGGGATCTACTTTCCAAAGGTTGAACTCCATCTTCTTGATGCCAAACATGACCTCTTCTCTTAAATTGGTATCTATGCATCTATCCAGTGCAAGAACTCACAATCCCAATGTACTCATCCCTAATAGTAAAACATGACCATCGATGGCCATGGAACATGTATTAAGGACTGATTCCTATGTGGCAGAGGAAAAAAAAAAAAAGAGAACCCTAATCTCTCGTATATGTGTTTCATTGTGGCGCTTGTTCATAGTACCACTTTCATTCTCACTCTCAAATGATTGATAATATCCTTTCTGAGTATCCATCAACTGGCATTCATATTTGTGGTGACTTCACTATTCACCACAAAGAGCAGTTAATCCATTCAAACAAAATCAATAAAGAAGGCAGATATTGACAATACTGTTGCCTACAAATGGACACAGATCATTGAAGAACCCACCCATATTCCTGATGCAACAGGACAGCAGGCAAACCTCCTTGACCTTTTCCTCACATCCTGCTCTGAAAAAGGGTGTTTCAAAAAAATTGATATCCTTTGAGATGTAAATATCACAGAAAGTACATGATTAAGGCAAATGAAATTAAATAGTATTAATGTTGAAGATCATAAGATTTATTCTTCCAAATCTGAATGAGAAATTCAAAAGCATGTGGATTATGTGAACGATTTCACAAATGTTCAATATCTTTTACCGCCTGAGACACGACATCGTCCAAGTCGGTAATCCAGCTCCTGCTAAACACGCTGAAGCATATCTTGGGTAACAGTCTCCAGTGCTGTATTGATTCTCTGCTTGAGTTCTTCTATGTTTGCAGGAAGAGGGGGAACTTACACCATTCCCTTCACGTAGCCCCAGAGGAAAAAGTCACAAGGTGTTAAATCAGGTGAACGGGGCGGCCAATTCAGCAATACACTGTCTTTAACACCAGCATGCCCGATCCATAAAGACATAAAAACATAAAACAAACATTAAACATAAAGATGCTATTAAAATTTGAAGTCATTTGAAGGAGATCTAACAAAGTTATTAGATTGCGAAATGATATCAAATTTTTTGAAACACCCTGTACTTTGCTGAAGCATTACCCCATGCAGTTCAGACCATTCACTACTCAAAGCCAATGTCAAAATAAAGGTATCCCCTGATGTACCATTCCATAGAACAGCTTCAGATCTTACATGACAGAAGCTCCTCTTTCAACCTTCTTCAAACATGTGCCCACATCTCAGAATGAATCTTTTCTAGAATTGAGTTTTATGCTCCAGAAAAAATTCCATCAAAAACCAGACAGCCAGTCTTTGTTAACTCTTGAATGTGCTGCAGCTATAGCATACCATAACCACTACTTAAAACATTTATCACAGGAAACAGGGTTAGTGTAATAGGACACTTGCTGCATTCAGAACTAACCACAGTCATTGCAAGAGAGTTCTATAAGATGCAAACTGTAGCTATGCACAAGCAGTCCAGGCCAAGGTTGAAAGCAAACTTTGATCCCAGGAGTTCTGGAAAACTTCCAACCATATTATCAATAGTGTCAGTGCCTACTATCAAATATGGCTCTGAGGTCATCTCTTTGTCAGACAAATTAAAGCTATTTGCCAAGATCTTTGCCTCTAACTTAACATTAGATGACAAGGGCCATCCCCTTCTCAATTCCCACCCATCTCACAGAACACCTTCTCAGTAATATTTTTATCACAGCTTAAAAAGTCTTAACAAAAGTCTTGACCCTAAGAAGGCTACCAGTCCAGATAAAATCTCAGTGGTTGTCCTTAAGAATATTAACCTTGAGTTATGCC